AAAAAACAAAATCATAACAGACGCTGATAAATTCAATTCAATCCCTAGTCAAAAGGAGCAAAACAATCGGATCAATAAAAGAGACATCGGACAAACAAAAAAAACAAAAGCGGCGATCAACTATAGAGAAGCGACCAAGCTCATGGATAAAAAAAACAAGTATGCGATAGAATGCAGGGGATTAGGGCGTACGAGAGTTAGCCATGGAGATTTCGTTGGCTTCATTGGGGTCAAGCCAGACCTTGCCCTTGCCGCACTTCATCACACTGGCGGCGAGCCGCTTCTGTAGCTTCAGCGACACCATTTCTCCTCTCTCTTAGCTTCTCTCTGTGTGAGGGGTGCGAATGTGAAGAAAGATGAGGGGCGGAGAAGATAGGCTTTTATACCAAGCGCTAGGGTTTACCAGGAGAATTATTTCCTGGGCCGCGATTATATGGGCCGATGAAAGGTCCAAACTTTGGACTAAAAGGCTCGGTTGGTTAACACCACAACTTCAAGTCTATAGGCATAAATGACAAAAATATCGTTTATAAAAGGTTAAATTGAAATTTGGGTCATATTAGATTATTAATGTGCAATCTATGTCTCAATGAAGTGACATTTAGCAATTTATGTCTTATGGTTTGAAATTTTGCAGCAATTTTATTCCTTTGACAGTTAAAATTTTCAAGTTTAAATGTCTAAATGATTGAAATTGCAATAATTTTAAAATAAATGACTCAAATTGCAAATCAATATTCATCTCAAATCTTCAAAATTGAGAATTTTGACGGCTAGATGATTGAAATCGCAACAAAATTTTAAATTACATTACTTAAATGTGTATGTAACTCATGTGGGACCTAAATTGCCACCTTCATAATTTAATATGATCAAATTTGCAATTTAGCCTTTTTATATAATATACTAATTAGTACGTTAAACACAAATGTTGTATTAATTTTATACAATTATATATTTTATATTTTTATATTTTAAATTTTTAAATTTTAATATATATATATATATATATAGTTGCTAAGGTCGCCACCTTGACTGACCTATATGTTGTGACTAACTTCGCAACCATCTGGACCGTTTAGACGGTGCCTAATTACCTGAGCACTTGAAAGGGCTTGCTAGACAAAAATTAGGATGATCGGGTGCTGCCTAGCGCCCGACTTTAATTTGTTTGACCCCAAATTGAAATTACTCACTGGCCATCTATACAATGTTTTGGCTGGTTTTTCACATGAACAAACTAAGAGCAACTCAAGTGGTCCATGGATTGCTCATTTTTATTGTCATGTGGCATAACTAATCTTATGTGGCATTCAAAATGTCTAGAAGTACTTCTAGACATCCTCTATTATATTTTTTATTATTTATTAAATATATATATATATATATATATATCATCACCAACCAATTATAATGTAACACATGTCAAATTATACTAAAATTGACATTCACCATTGGACACAAAATGTTGTTGCTCCCTTTTTCCATGTTATACATCTCCAAATGGATTATATACCATTGGAGATGCTCTAAAGAAACATGTCTTATACGGTGTTGCTTAGCTCGCCACCTTGACTGGCCAATTAGTCGTGAGTTGTGACTAACTTCACAATCATTTGGGCCGCTAGATAGTGCCTAATTACCCGAGCACTTGAAAGTTTGGAAGGGGGCTTACTAGACGAAAACCAGGACGATCGGATGCTGCTTAAAGCCGACTTTAACTTGTTTAACCCCAAAATGAAATCACTCACTAGCAAATCATACAATGTTGTGGATGGTTGTTACGAACCGTGTATCGAGTATCGAATTTTGTATCAAAACCGAATTAAAGAACCCGATTTAGACACTGTGGTTTACTTGGAAACAAGCTTTTCTTAAGAAATATGATAACAATACCAAAGATAGTCTGAAAATGTCCCAAAAACGCATACAAATAACCCTACTAACTACCCAAATACACTTGAAACGAAAAGAAAACTGAAATAAAAAACTACTCCCGCCGGGACCTTAGCGCCGCTAAGGACCCTTAGCGCAGCTAAGGGTCATTACTGGCCGCTAATCAGTTTAGCGTAAAGCCTCTATCCCCGCTATTCTTCAGCCTTAGCGCCGCTAAGGACCCCTAACCCCTGGAAAGCTGCTATTTTTCTGCAGCTTTATTCTTGCTCGTCGAGCCCGGTTATACGCGTTCTTCAGCTGACGACCCTCATCCGCATCATTCTCGTCCCATTCAAGAGTGTCCTTGTCCTCAAGGACAAAATTCGGAAATTGAATTTGCATATCGTGTAAACTTTCCCAAGTCGATTCCTCTTCCGGAAGTTGGTCCCATTCGACTAAGACTTCCCAACAAAAGCGACCAGTCAGTTAAAATTTTGGTGCAATTTTATTGACAGTTAAAATTTTCAAGTTTAAATGTCTAAATGTCTGAAATTGCAACAAAATTTTAAAATACATGACTCAAATTGCAAATCAATATTCATCTCAAATATTCAAAATTGAGAATTTTGACGGCCAGATGACTAAAATTACAACAAAATTTTAAATTACAGTACTTAAATGTATATGTAACTCATGTAGGACCTAAATTGCCACCTTCATAATTTAATATGATCAAATTTGCAATTTAGCCTTTTATATAATATACTAATTAGTACGTTAAACACAAATGTTGTATTAATTTTATATTTTATATTTTTATATTTTAAATTTTTAAATTTTAAAATATATATATATATATATATATATATATATATATATATATAGTTGCTAAGGTCGCCACCTTGACTTACCTATCTGTTGTGACTAACTTCGCAACCATCTGGACCGTTTAGACGGTGCCTAATTACCTGAGCACTTGAAAGGGCTTGCTAGACAAAAAATAGGACGATCGGGTGCTGCCTAGCGCCCGACTTTAATTTGTTTGACCCCAAATTGAAATTACTCACTGGCCATCTATACAATGTTTTGGCTGGTTTTCCACATGAACAACGTAAACATGTCTTATACGGTGTTGCTTAGCTCGCCACCTTGACTGGCCAATTAGTTGTGACTAACTTCACAATCATCTAGACCACTAGATGGTGCCTAATTACCCGAGCACTTGAAAGTTTTTGAAAGGGGGCTTACTAGACGAAAATCAGGACGATCGGGTGCTGCTTAAAGCCCACTTTAACTTGCTTAACCCCAAAATGAAATCACTCACTAGCAAATCATACAATGTTTTGGATGGTTTCTCACATGAACAAACAAAAGAAACATGTCCTATTCACTTCACAAAATAAAATACATTTTTTCTTACTAAATACTAGTACGAATCACGTGCGATGCACGGATAAGAGATATTCATTAATATAGATAAATTAAAAATAGTCATTAGAAAATAGTATAAATTAAAAGTACGAAACTAATATGTAATAAAGTTTACCTATTCTATTGTATTGAAAATGATATATGAAATTTAAATTGTGCAAAGTACATAAAACATGTCTATTTAAAATTAGTACGCAATCGGTGCATTTAAGTTATAATCAATTACATTATATTCATTTCAAAATAAGTGTCATATTATAATTTTTATTCAAGAATTTTATTTGACTACAATGTGATTCCATAAAATATTTATTTTTGATAAAGTTTTTATCCATATTTAACAATCTATGTGGATAATAAGTATAATTATAAAATTTATATTGTTTCATCAATTAAATGAATTTATTTGGTATAAACTATTCAAATAAAAAAATTAAGTAGTTGAGTAATTTATTAATCTATACATAATGAACTATTCCATTAACGTCTAAGTTCATATTGATTGTATGTTGTGAATAATTATTTATTTGACTTTTACATTTGAAACCGTAAGTTATGAATATTTACTTATTTGACTTTTAAATTTGAAACCCAAATTTGAGTTGCACAATAAATTCTCATATATATACACATATACATATATTATCTTGCAATTTTTTCGATTTGTTGTCGGTTACCTTATTATTCAAATTTATCAACTAATTCTTTAGAATTAGATTACAAATTCTATATTTTATTAATCAATATTTGTTTAAAATCTTTGTGTTTTTCAAGAGAAATACCCAAGTTTCTGAAAACTGGACTGCACCGGCGGGTTCAACCAACAACCGACGAAGACAACCGGTCCGATTGGAGGTATGCAAACTGTGGAGTCCAAAACCGTTTGCGAACCATCTTAACTCAAGAGGAATACACAAGTTTCTGAAAACTGGACTGGACCGGCCGGTTCAACTGAGAACCGACGAACACAACTGGTTCGATTGGAGGTATGCAACCTGTGGAGTCCAAAACCATTTGCGAACCATCTCAACCGGGTCAAAACCGCTAACGGTCAAGTAGGTTTTGATTAATTCTTTACAACTGTCTAGTTGGTAGATCATTTAAATAGCAGACATTTCATATATATGTTTCTGATGTGGATTTCAGTTTTCACAAATAAGTACTATTGCCTATCACTAAATAATTGACCCAGATTGGGCTTACATGACATCCAAAGAATTATTTTGCTTATATTTGTAAATGAAATTTCATCAGTTCTAGTTGTCTAAAGCTCATTGTATAGAATAATGACATAACATTTATTTGCTCATCTACTTTTTATTTTATTTTTTCAATTATTGTTTTCAATATTAAAATTTAAAATATAAAAAGTATATAAAAAAATTATCAACATTGTCGGCTATATCTATAATTGAATTTTTATTTACAAAAATGTCATTATAAACTATAAAATTAATAATAAAGTATATAAAATTATATATTATACGTATAAAATAAATAAAAACAATTTATATTAATTAAAACGGTTCGACAACTGGTCCGACCAGTGAACCATTAAACCGGTAGCTTCACCGATTCGATGATCGATTCAGTTTTAGAATCATGGGAATACACACAGAATTTCTGAATTATCATGAATATCTTATATCAAGTCATTACGTGAATATTTTAAAATTTGAGAATCATATCACCTTTATTTTGTAACAAATCAACCTAAATTTCGATTTTCATACTCATACCAATAAAATTAATACCACTTATTTTGTTTTCATAATTTTCAGTTACACTTCTATTCATACCAAATAAAAATCATACAATTTAAATTTAGACCTTTTATACTAAAATAAAATCGCACACTTTAACCATAAATTCGATAATTTACTAATAACAACATATTTCCTACCAAAAATAATATTGGCATCAAATATATCAAATAAAATCGCCTACTTTATTCCAAAACTGGATTTATTAATTTTGTCAACTTTATCATAAATTGATTAATTAATTTCTTGAGGCGAAATTTTCTAAATAATTTTAAAAAAGATTATCAAGTTTACTAATTTTAAGTAGAATTTAATTTGTATTTCAAGTAAATACAAATATTTCTCTATATACATATATAGATTAATAGATATAAATGTAGTTATAACATTCAACTAACTAATGTGTACGTAATAACTAAAAACTCAACAAAGTACAATCAACACAAAATAACCCAATTTTCTTGAAGAAAACTCCAAACCAAAACGACAAAACAAAAAACACTTTATCTCTTTTTAATAGGAACTCAACTTATTGTCATTAGTCTTATATGTACAAAGCATTGAGAAAAGTAAAATATAATGAACCTCTTCATCTATTTCATAGTAGATCAATACATATCACCAAGTACAGCCGCTTCACATGGAAAAGAGAAAAATGAAATAAGCGAAAGGACTAAAAATCTAGAAAGCAAAGCCGCCACACATGTCATGTATCACCGTACCCATCCGCATAAGCAGCCTCGTCCCCGACATCTGAAGCCATCTCCCCAATCAGCAAGCCTCCTAGCAGCCCAACCTCCAATCCTAAGCCCAACTCAACCCCCATCCATGCCTTTTTCTTTGTTCTCTTAGGCTTCTGACTTCTGAGGCTGCCCGTACGTCCTTTGCGGTGGGTACCCAAACCCCGTAGGTGGCACCAGCAAAGCATATCAATGGATGGCTATCCACAGTATTTCCCTGCATATTGCACGCCCAAGAAAATATCAGCAAAAATTACTAAAGAAGCTCATCGTTTGGACTAAAATTTCACTTTCTAGCAAGAAAAAATAAAATGCATCTAATCGTAGAAAAATTATCACCACCTTGTCTGAACATGAACAATATACAACTTAAAAACAGGTTCCATAGTTCATCTAATATGAACAATACCAGTCTAACTTACGTGAGCGATGTGCCATAATGCATCCCAAGGCCTCTGGAAATCTTACATAGACATCACTACACAATAATATCGAAATGACATTTACTGTCCAAACCAAAAAAGGCAGAATGAAAGTATAAAACCTCTGTCATTCGGGCTTGCACTTCTATATACTGAGGCCCAGTAATATTTAATTGGCAACCCCTTTTAGGGCACATAAATAATCAGAAAAAATAGATGCCATTGGTAATTTTCAAAATATGCACACTAACCAAATAAAAGAAAAAGGAGAAAATATGGATACCATACAATAAAAAGTCACTCAAAGCAAAAAAAAAAACGATTCTTCTGAACTTCAAACTTGTGTTGATCGCTTGAAGAAGCTACAGCTTTGTCCGCATTCTTATACCCAGCGGATTGAACTGAAACCATTAGAGTTTCATTAGAAAGAATAATTCAAATTAACCACGAGTAACGGTGGTCCTTTTTCCTAGTTAATCGATTGGTTGAGAAAACCGTACTTAGTTTATGACATCTTCTAAAATTTTCAAATGTCAAATTCTACTACTAATGATTGGATGTTTGACGATTAATTATACAAATAGAAGTAGAAGCTTGAATTATTGTTATCCTAAAAAGAAATAACCACTTTTACAACTAATACACTAATAAAATCACCTCACACTACTTTTTTTCTATAACTGCGTCACTTCTATTGCAGGCACTACTAATTCTCAGCTATTTTGGTTCATACAACATCACAATCCTTCCCATACACTCACTAAACATCAGAAGGTCGATATTAAATCAGGAAATAATATCAAAATCCAATCCTTTTTTTTCAAGATTGAGCAAAAAATATTCAAGCTAACCCTTATAAGCATCTAATAAAATTTGTGAAAAGAACCACGAGAAACAACAACAAAAAATAAAAATAAAAAAATAATAATAATAATAGCAGCAATAATAATAATAATAATAATAATAATAATAATAATAATAATAATAATAATAATAATAATAATAATAATAATAATAGTAATAATAGTAGTAGTAGTAGCAGTAGTAGCAGCAGCAATTATATGTATAATTATATATATACTATCTTCAATAATTGGTAGAATATATAATCAACATAGCAAAACAATCCTTCAAAATCAGTCAAGGATAAAAAGATTCAAGCTTTTTACATGGAAAATCGAGGATCCAAAAACCCTTGAGGGAACCCTTGGGCCCAAAGCCCTTATTGGACACCCAATTGTCGAACTCATCTGCCCGTGATTGAGAATCCGTGAAGAAGCCCTCTTTTTCCCCTCTACCTTGGCTCGCCAAATCCAGGGGGAGACAATTTTTTACTGGTCGCCCAATTGTCGTTCTGGTCAACCCTAGACAGAGCAAATTCCCGAATGCCCTCACGAATGGAGCTTCCATGGCGGCGGGGCTTCTCGTCCATGATCCCCACGCCGTAGGATCTGAATTTGCCGTGGAGCTTTTTCCGATCGAGCTCCTCGGAGGTGCGCTGGCGGGTACAATTGGGAGGGCCAGGAGCTCGTCCTGCGTCAGGCCCTTCGGCTGGGTCGCCTCCGGCTTAACGAATTCCTGGTGGAGAAGGGTATGTGAATTATTCTTCTTCGTCGTCGTCGTCTTGGTGACGACAGTGGCCTAAGCGATGGGAATTGGGAGGGTCAATTTAATTGGGAATTGTCCTGAGCGATGGAAGTTGGGAAATGTTAGAAGTGGAACAGCAAGGATTAAGTGGGTTAATCTATATATATATAAAGAGAGAGTTGATGGAATTGATGTTACTAATAATAAATGTAAATGCTTCTTTTGGAAATGGTATCAACAATATTTTTGGAAACAAATATATAATTAGTATGTTTGTCTTTTTAGTTTATTAAATCATTCATGA